TTTGTGGTGTGTTCAAATATCCTGCGATATTAAGGGAGAATTAAGAGAGCTAATCGGTTCTGATAAATTGATCCATTCTGGAAAGATTAAATCCAAGATTAACTTGTCATTAATCAGATAGATTGAGAATGAACTGTTTGAGAGAACCATTTTTCCCTTTCATCAATATGGTTGATGATAACCTGAAGGAGAATAATTCATTATGCCTTGTGTGGATAAATTGACTGTTGGTCAGGCGGGAAAGGAGCAGTGTACCTTGTGCTGTTGAAATGCTTACTAAACAAGAACTTGTTATTTTCTGTACTAACCCTTAATTACAGTGGTCACATGACAGGGTTACCATGTGATCCCTGAAGTTGCATAAAAGGAGATGAAATCTATCTGCTCTTCTTTTTTTTCTTCTTTTTTTTTAATTAAAATTACTGTTATGGGGTCCACCCTTTTTTCATACAAGTGGATTCGACCTGTGTGTACTTGGACTGCTGCCGTTAAATACCCAGAGTCAGTCAGAGTAGAGAGACAGTGATTGGGATTGAGTTGGGGGTAGAGTAATAGTGTGAGGTAACCGCTTGTAGAAGTCACAGTTACAAGCACGTAGACTCTAAGGAAGTCCTACTTCGAGACTGGATTTACCAGATTGTGTATATATATATATATATATATATATATATATATATATATATATATTATTGCTACTAAACGTGTTTCTGGATCTACTAACCGTATTACCAATTGTATTATTGTGTAAATACATTTATTTGCTATATTTCATTCCTGCGTTTGTCATTCATTGGAGACCGGATTTCATCTCGGAATCCACAACAATTACCTTACGTCGCAGAAAAGTGGCAATATATTTCGCAACTCAACATAAGTGACTTTAAGTGCTATTACTTTTTTTTTTTCAACCAGACCAGTCCCTGTTCATTTGGGGGATGAGGAGCATTTTCTCGACACTTGGTCTTATGTTTTCTATTAATATAAGAGATTCTTCATAAAATTCAAAGATGACTCGGCAATGTTATTATTCTAACCTGGGATCTCAGATTCAATCACTTTTCCACCATAGCTTCCCTATATACATAGATAAATAGCCATTTTTGTTTTGTTTTTTAACCTTTTGAGCCCTGCATTCCTGAACAATTTTAACCCGTCTGCCTGAACTCCTGAATCAAAATTCGCAAATAATTGACATGTAATGTTTCATGGTAGATATAAAAATAGTTACAAAAAATATAACTTCCTGATTGCTTCCCTGACGGTCCAAGTTATGACTCTGCACGCTTCATGGTAAAAACGATTTTTTTTTATTCAAAACACATGCACAAAATCCAATAAAAAATAATTTCAAATCATTCTTGTTATTATCAAAATTTAGTTATTGTCGCCTCAGACTGACATTTCTCTGTTGGATGAGAATTACACACGTTTAAATATTTTTTTGGTTGATTCATTTTCTATGGCTTATCAACACTTTGCGGGTTATTTCTAGCCAGAAAATATTTTTCTAAGAACTTATTTTTTGAGATAATGGTTTTGTAATACAATTAACTCTTTGAGCCCTTTGTTCCTGAACAATTTTAACCATTCTGCCTGATCTCTTAAGTCGAAATTCGCAAATAATTGGTATTTTATATTTCATGGTAGATATAAAAATAATTACAAGTGTTTACTCACCGTTTAACAGATAGTTGGGCATTAAGTAATTTTTCTCTACCACCGGTAAAGCACTTGTTATAAAATAAATTAAGACATATCTCGGCTGATTTACAGACAAATAAACTAACATACTCAAAAGCGAGAGCCGGATGTGAACGGGACAAGGCCCCGTCACAAAATGACCATATTTACGCGTGTACGCATATTCCCGACGCACAAGTTCCGGCCGAAAAATAAAATAATATTTTAAAGTGTTTCTGTTTTTCGACCAATAAAAATGTTTCCCTCCTAATTATATTCGCGTCGTTTTTCGAGCCTGTTAAGCTATAAAAAAACGCCATAAAAGGGGTCACACGGAGTACAACAGCAGTCAACAGGAGGCCGGGGAAGAGACCTGTCACGGTCAGCAGCAGTCAGCAGGGAGAGCGCCAACTACTATGAGAGACCAACCCGGCTTATGAACTTTACCATAAGGTAGCTGTCCCAAACTCACACGTTTCTGTTGAAATAAATCATGTAAATCTATTTCTACTGTTGTATTTCTTTCTTGCAACTATACGCTTGTCAAGGCTCAACTATACGCTTGTCAAAGGCAAACATACGCTAGTCAAGGCTCAAAGGATTAAGCAAAGGTTCGTTTAGGAGCGAATGAAAATAGCATGATACACTTAGCAAACCTCAAACCTTTCAATCCGACCAACATTGGTGAAAGAGATTAACCCTTTGAACCATTCGTGCGTTCTTGAACAATTTTGACCCTTCGGCCTGAGCTCCTGATTCAAAATTCGTAAATAATCGGTATTTAATGTTTCACTGTAGATATAAACATAGTTGCAAGTGTTTACCCACTATTCAACTGGTAGATGGTCATTACGTCATTTTTCTTTACCACCAGTAAAGCGATGGTCAGCCTCAAAGGGTTATGTTAATACCAGGATTAATCTGGCATAAAGCAAGGGCAAGGTGAGCCCTACCTGAAAGAGTATTTGTCATAATCATTTGAGGCAAGGTTTTACAAGGATGGATGCTCCCCCTGATGTGAAACTCAGACACTCTTGGTAGTGTTTTTATCAAGACACCATCTCTAGGAAAATTGCCATTCAAGCCTTGAGACCCTGTCCTAGCCTTATATATATATATATATATATATATATATATATATATATATATATTCAAAAAATTATAACACATGCATGTTATAACAACACAAAGATATTATTTGCTCTACTCTGTATTGAGGACTCTTTTAAGAATAGTGTTTTTGGTTATCGAAATTTTATTCCATCTATACCAACCCTGCACTTGCATGTTTGTATATATATATATATATATATATATATATATATATATATATATATAGATATGCGTGTATATATTCAAAATTATAACATATGCATGTTATAACAACACAAAGATATTATTTGCTGTACTCTGTATTAAGCACTCTTTGAAGAATAATGTTTTTGGTTATCGAAATTTTATTCCATCTGTACCAACTCTGTACTTGTATGTATGTATATATATATATATATATATATAAGTAAGTGAAATTGGGTAGATGGAACCCTTGGGGGCCGTCGATAGCTGTGCTAGCACAAAGTCACAAGTCATTGTGACTGAGGGTTTAAGTGTACTGGCCTTGTTCAGTTTGTTGATCATGCTAGATAACATGCTCTCTCCCAGAAATTGTAGCTAAGGTCTGCTCATCAAAGTTGCAATATAAGCCACAGGTTGGCTCTGTGGGTGTTGAACAAACATAAATATGCCTGTGCAAGCGTCAGCAATAGGGATTGGCTAGCCGCTCTAATAGATGAGTATCCTCAAATATGAGTGTCCAGTTATTTTATATATATTATTAAATGGACTAAGTCTAATAATTATTTTTAATATATTTATTGTTTATTGTTTATACATTATTTTTATAGATGCAAATATTTAAGTAAATGCTCTGTTTATAAGAAAAAGTATTAACAATATTTATCGTCCGAGAAATTTCATAGAAAATATGTGTTCTCCCACACAAATTGAACCTGTATCGTACATAGAGCTGTCATATAGCCTGATGTGCTATACCATTTAGCTACAGAAGAAGCGCCTGGTTAGCAAGATTAAATTACTAATTGTAAACTACAAATTTCTCTTGATTTCTTCTGAATGCTCATATCTGCTTGAAGTGTATTTTAAAGTAAACAAATAATATCATATATTAGAAGCTGGACTAAGTCTGATAATTATTTTAATATATTTATTGTTTATATGTTACTTTTATAACTACAAATATTTAAGTAAATGCTCTGTTTTTAATAAACAGTATTAACAATATTTACCGGCCTGAATGTCTAAAAAATTTCATAGAAAATATGTATACTCTGACAGGAATAAAACCTGTATCCTACACAGAACCATCATATAGAATGACGTGCTATACTATTTAGCTACAGAGGAAGCATCTGGTTAGGAAGGTCGAATTCATTTTTTAAGAGGAATCATGAAAAATTTGTAGTTTAAAAGCAGTAATTCTTGCCGTCAGTATGTCCTGTGAGGATCAAATTTTCCAAGACTTCTTTCCTCATTATGAGTCCCAGAAATTTCAGCAATCTTATTCTAAGTATAATCATTTTTTTTTTTTAATTTTCCATAAAACAGCTTGTTTACAAGCTTCATCCTTGGTATTCTCAGCATGTTGAGCCAAATTATCACAGTTCTGCCAGAGTCAGACAGTTTTGATTGAGATGGAGAGATACACCAACCAGACTAATTAAAAAAGAACTCGTAACTGGAAAAAACGAATGAAAAAAGAATGTTAACAACAAATACTTTTTTCACACCCAACCCAGTTCTGTGGAATCAGAATCAACGTTGAGTTTAAGCAAGCGAATGAGCCAATTGGAGTAAAGTGCCATGCAGATTTAAATTTTTCCACTTGTGACGAATGCAGCTATTGATTTTTTTTGCATGATAGCATGCTAGTTAACATTCGTGTCAGTCAGCTGTTGGCTCTCACGCTAGCCAATAGAATCTTCCTGCCTATTCGTGGCAGCGAGCTATAGGCTTTTACTCTGGCCAGTAGAAAATGGCCGCAAACTACATGAAAACTGCCGTAGAAGCATGAAAAAATCGATTATTTCCACTATCGATGGGAGTTGGAAATGCAAAGTCAGTCTTCGCTTTCCCGCTAACTTGGAGCATGTGCATGTACATTTTGGTGTAAATCCATTGAAAATTGCCGCCATGCATTCGTTACACACACACACACACACACACATCCAGTCTTTTATAGATAGAGATTAATTCTCCATTGATTAGCTGAGGAAGATTGATTGATCTCTGATCAGCTAGGCTTGTGGTCAAATCATATTGAAACACCAGTTCTCATACAATCACCAAAGTTAAGCAATACTGAGCTCAGTCAATAACTAGATGAGTGACCACTTGGGAACAGCAGGTGCTGTAAGCTTGGATGTGTGGGTGGTGAAATGGGTAACAGCTGAAAATTGGAAATCGGAGTGCTGAGTTTTAATTCCAGTCAGGTTTATTATATTCACTTATGTGCAAATACCCTTGGGAAAGGTATGAATCCACCTCTTATCCCTCCAGCTATGGATTAATTAGTAAGACTTGTACCAATAAATCATTACGATTTCCAGAAAATTCCTACAGCCTAAAAAATTTTGTCTGGCTTTAAATAACAACTCCACCCCCTATAAAGAACCTCCTACCACTAGAACTTCGTTCTACTATCAACGAGCTGACTGGGACGCGTTCCGTGATTTCCTCCGCGATGTCCCCTGGGATGGATCTTTAATCTCCCCGTCGAAGAATGTGCTTCTGAGGTCTCTTCCTGGGTTAAAGCTGGAATCGACGCTTTCATCCCATCAAGGAAATATAGGGTCAAGTCGCGCTCCTCCCCCTGGTTCTCGGCTGCTTGCTCAGCCGCCATCGCCCATAGGAACCACTACTTCCACCTATTCCGTAGCGACATGTCTGACTGCAATAGACGTCATTTGCCTCCGCCCGTAACGAATGTAAGCGTGTCCTCAACGATGCTAAGTCACTATTTGCGGCTCGGATGAAGGAACGTATTGCATCTCGTAAATTTGGCTCCAAAGATTATTGGCATCTCTGCAAGAGCGTATTGAACAATTGCAAACCCTCTATACCTCCTTTATTCAACCAGTTCGAAGTCCTGACCTCCTCTACCGACAAGGCTGAACGCTTTGCTCGGAAATTTTTATTCAACTCGACGCTCGACTCTTCCGGTGTACCCATACCCGACTTCCCTCTTAGAACTGAGGCCATATTGAGTGGGTTAAACATAACCCCATCTTTGGTACTGGCCGTTATCTCCAATTTAGACCCCAACAAAGCTAGTGGTGGAGATGTGATACCAGCCATTGTCTTGCAGAAATACGCGCCTGAACTGGCGCCCGCCCTTTCTAAACTATACAACTACTGCCTCAATGAATCTTGTTTTCCTGACTGCTGGAAGTCCTCTTCGATCGTTCCTGTCTTCAAGAACTCCGGCGACCCCTCTGACCCTTCCAACTACCGTCCTATCAGTCTCCTTCCCCTCTTCGGCAAAATCTTCGAAGCCCTAATCAATACCGGGGTTGTTTAACTACCTCACATCCCATAATCTGCTCTCAGACAAGCAATATGGTTTCCGCTACGCCCAATCTACAGCCGATGTGCTTAAGGCCATCACTGAAACAGTCTACCGAGCTCTTCAAAATAACGGGGAAGCCCGAGCCGTGGCACTAGACATCTCCAAAGCATTTGATAGGATTTGGCATGCTGGCCTTCTTCGCAAACTCCAGAGTTATGGCATTACGGGTCGATTATATAACCTAATACAATCATTCCTGTCAAACCGTGAATTGAAGGTCAATTCTCAACGGATTCTCCTCCAGTTCCTATCCCACGAACGCAGGTGTTCCTCAAGGCTCCATCCTAGGCCCCACTCTATTCCTTATATACATAAATGACCTTCCTGACGCCATAACCTCCCAAGTTGGCATCTACGCGGATGACACTACAATTTATTCCTGCCTCAAAACCAAATCTAGTCTCGCTGACAAAACTCACCTGGCCGGGCGTCTCGAAAAGGACCTCCAATCGATTGTGAACTGGGGCATGAATTGGCTGGTCAACTTCAACGCTTCTAAGACAAAACTGCTCTCTATTAATCACCACAGAGATCCTTCCCTCCCCTCCATTAGAATGTCTGACGCTCAACTTCTCGAGAGCAACTCTCTGCGGCTTCTCGGCCTCACGTTGACCGCTGACCTGAGATGGAATAAATACATTGAGTCAATTGCCTCGTCCACCGCAAGGAAAGTTGGCTCCCTGAGCCGCGCCAGGGAGTTTTTCTCCCCGGAGTCGATCCTCCAGATCTACAAATCAACAATTCGCCCTTGCATGGAGTATTGCTGCCATATATAGTCTGGTGCCCCTTCTTGATAGGCTCCAGAGGCGGATATGCAATGTAGTTGGCCCTACCCTGGCGTCTCGTCTACAGTCACTTTCTCACAGACACGCCGTCGCCTCCCTCTGTCTGTTCTACAAATACTTTCATGGAAATTGCTCCGAGGAGCTGCATTCGCTGGTTCCCAGGCGTCATGAGTTCCAGCGCCTTACGAGGCTGGCATCCCGCTCTCACCCCTTCACTGTCGAAACTCCTAAATGTAGCCGTCTCTTCTACTCTAATAACTTCATGTCTCGCACCTCTCGCCTGTGGAACTTCCTTCCCTATTCCTGTTTCCCTGTGAGCTATAATCTCCAGCTATTCAAGTGTAATGTCAATCGACATCTCCAGTTGCCTTGATCTATCCACTACCCTCATCCTTTCTTCTATCACTCCTATCTGATCTTGCTCTAAACTTTCTGTAACCCCTTGCGTCCTAGTGACTTCCCGCCTTGCTTGGGGTGAAATGCTTAAAAAAAACCCAAAAACAACCTGCAAACGGTTGATAAACCACAAAGAACAAGTCAGCCAAATCTGATCAGTTGATAAACTTCAGGAAGGGTAGATCCTACTCTTGACAAGTTTGTAACCAACAACAGTAAATATAATTTGAAAATGTTATTGGAAGTAAAAATTTAATAATTGCATGTAGGACAGAAATTATTAAAAAGAAGGTCAAATAACAGGGGAAAAAATGAAAATACAAAAGAAAATCAGGAGTAAATCAGTTATCACTCCTCACTCTTCAGATTTCAATCGAAGATAAAATAATAATAACAACATTATTTTACTTAATGAGAAAATTTTAAGGGAAATGGAAACAAAAAATATATGAAGAGGTTAGAATCATAACCTGGTGTTTGAATCATCCTTAAAAGGAGATGTGTCAAGGTGACCAGGGCAATTTTTCTTCCTAGCCCATGTAAGTGTAGCCTCCCACTTTAGATGTGACCTTGTGTCACATTCCCTGCCAGTTGGTGCATGAATAAATCCAAACATATTTCTCGTGAGCAGAATGATGAATGCTTGTAGTGTCAGGTTATTTCCGCCTAATTTTTGAAGCCATTACTAGGGGACGATCTCTGACACTAAAAATACTCTGCAGTGATTTTTTTATCTCTCTTTTCTTACTTTACCTTATAAACAACTACAGGTAAATTTATCATGGAAGAATGCATTCCCTTTTTGGAAAAAGCATGAATAATACACACATACATGCATGTACATACGCACATTCACTCACTTCATATACTTTGGACCAAAAAGTTTCCACATTCATTTGTTACACACGTTATTGTCTTTGTCACTTGTAACCCTTTTGTTGTTAATACATTATCATTTGTTTGTACATATATATCAGTTCTTGTTGTTTCTTTACATTTCTTTAAGTGGACTCATACTCTGAGTCCGTCATGTTTGTTGTGGGCATTTCAGGAGACAGACGTCTTTATCTCTCAACACGTATGTCTGGCCTGCAACTGTTAGATTAACACACTTATCTGCTAAGAACCTCTGCTAGCAACCACAAGATAGCATTACCAATGTCGTACAAAAGAAAAAGTCAGAAAAGTGCACCCTGAAATGTGATAGCAACAACAAAGGTGAGGAAAATTGTAGCAGGAATGAAATATAGACAGAGTAGCCAGCAGCTACTGATTATGGTACCCGCTCTTGTCGGTCAAAGAAGCGACGTTTAGTGTGCTGGTCCTGCAGAAAGACAGCACATTGCTGACCTGCCAAAACAGAGCCACTACAAACCCTTGAATGAGGGATTATGTAAAAAGAAAGTGCCTACCAGCTTCCCTATGAGATAGCTGGGATTTGGGAAATGCAAAGTCTGTCTTGGCTTTCCTGCTAACTTGGAGCATGTGCATGTAAATTTTGGTGCAAATCCATCGAAAATTGTGGCCGTGCATTTGTTACACACACACACGCACACACACATCCTGCCTTTTATAGATAGAGATTGACATGAAAAACACTTTGACATTGAGCCAGGATATTTATTCAGAACTTGTACAAAATGTCTGTGAAAGGAACCTAATTCAGAACATAACATTTCCCTAATTTAGGGCTCAGATTCCCAATGGACAATCGAGTCACACCTGCCACTGTGTGACCGACACCACCAAAATAAATAGTGTTAAAATTAAGTTTTATTCCCTGTGCTTTTTTTGTTTGCTGTCAAATTTTTATCAGTGACAGAAAATATGAAATGTCAGTGAACAAAAAAATTCACTTGGAGTTAGCTTTTAGAATATGAGCCAACATTAAAATTGTAGTACCAGATTGGCAGATAGGTCTTATCATTTTACAGTTTAAACAGCTAAATGTAACCATATCTTCTATGCTAAGAGTTTGTTCTCTTGCACTTCTCATTTGAGGAGCTCTCTTCCAGCCTCTTGCTTTCCCGTCAATTTTGATCTTCAAAAGTTCAAAATAAGTGTCAATAGTTATCTCCTGTCTTCTTAATTCTTGTTCTTTTATTGATCTTTGTCTTTAATAGTAAAATCCTTTAAATCCTTAAAAGCAGCCATGTTTCACAATGTAGAAATTCTTGTGGAGAAAGCTGCAGAATGTCATGACTGTGTAGTGAGTTTGATCCTCAATAAATAGGCATGTGTGAGGCAAAACTCTACCAATAACTAGAACAATCAATGTGGCGACACTGCTCTTTTGTTGTCAGATTATCGAACAGAATAAAAGTTTTCAATGCTCAGAGATCGAGTTCTATATCACTGTGCATGTCAAAACACAAGTTAAAGATCAAGTTTTGATCAGGGACATTTAGTTATGAATTTTGGTTCCGCAGCCAATCCTGGGGGAAATCATGTTCCCTTTACTAATGCATTCTCGGACGAAATTACTCACTGGCTGATTTGCACAAAACCTAAAATTCTGTTTGCCAACAACAAAGATAAACATGGATGGTTCCAAGCAATCATAATAATGGAAAGTGTTGATAGGGTCTGCAAGCCAGGATAAGATAAT